CTCAAACTCTTCAAAAACATTGAAAAGGAGGGAAGCTCCCAAGTTCATTTTGCAAGGCCAGCATTACCCTGATACCAAAACTGAAGAAGGACACAGGGAAGGAAGGAAGGGAGGGAGGGAGGGAGGGAGGGAGAGAGGAAGGAAGGAAGGAAGGAAGGAAGGAAGGAAGGAAGGAAGGAAGAAAGGAAGGAAGGAAAATGAAGGAAAATGAAAGAAAATGAAAGTAAATAAAATTACAGGCCAGTATGCCTGATGAACATACATGCAGAAATCAACAAAATATTAACAGACCAAAATAACAATACATCAAAAACATCTTACATCACGATCAAGTGGGATTTATTCCAGGGATGCAAGTGTGGTCAGCATCCGCAAATCGATCAAGACGGTATACACATCAGCAAAATGAAGGATAAAAATCATATTATTTTTGTGAATGCACAAAAAAGCATTTGAGAAAATTTAACATCCATTTATGAGAAAAACTCAACAAAATGGATATAAAGGGAATGTACTCCAACATCACAAAGGCCGTAAATGACAGACCCACAACTATCATCATCCTCAATGGTGAAAAGCTAAAAGCTTCTCGTCTAAGATCAGGAACGAGATAAGGATGCCTACTCATGCCATTTTGATTCAACATAGTATTGGAAGTCCTAGCCAGAACAACTAGGAAAGAAAAAAATCAGTGACATCCAAATTGGAAAGGAAAAAGTAAAACTTTCACTATTTGCAGACAACATGATATTGTGTATGGAAAAAGACTCTACAAAAAAAAAAAAAACAAAAAAAAAAACAACAACTGTCAGAACTAATAAGTGAATTCAATAAAGTTACAAGATACAAAATTAATATACAAAGATCTGTTGCATTTCTATACACTAACAAAGTATCAGGAAAATCAAGAAAATAATCCCACTTACAATTGCATTAATAAGAATGAAAAATTTAGGAATAAATTGAACTAAGGAGGTGAAAGACCTATACACTGAAAACCACAAGACACTGATGAAAGAAATTGAAGATGACACAAATAAATGGGAAGATATTTTGTGTCAGGGGTTAGAAAAATCAATGTTGTTAAATGTCCATAAACCCAAAGCAATCTACAAATGCATTGCGATCCCTGTCAAAGTTCCAATGACATTTTTTGCCGGATTGGAATAATTCCATAACTTACGTGGAAGTAACCACAAAAGACCCCAAATAGCCAAAGCACGGTGTTAAGAAAGAACAACAGAGTCAGAGGTTACCGTGCCTAGTTTCAAATGGGATTATAAAGCTATAATAATCAAAACCGTGTAGTATTGCCACAAAAATGGACACAGAGGACAATGGAACTAGACGTGTAGATAACCCACAAATAAACCCACATGTATGTGGTCAGGTAATTTTCAACAAAGGAGGCAAGAAAATACAATGGGGAAGAGGCAGTCAGTCTATTTAGTAAACAGTGTTGGGGAAATTGGAGAGCTACCACACACAAAATAATGAAGCTGGACCACATACAAAAAATTAACTCAAAATGGATTCAAGACTTGCATGTAAGACCTAAAGCCATAAAATGCCCAAGAAGAAAACATAAGCAATAAGCTCCTTGACATCAGTCCTAGTAATTTTTTTTTATCTGACTCCAAAGGCAAAGGAAACAAAAGCAAAAATAAACAAACGGGACTACATCGAACCAAAAAGCTTCTGTACAGCAAAGGAAACCCTCAACCAAACAGAGAAGCAACCTATCAATGTCAGAAGATATTTGAGAATCATGTATCTGAATGAGGGTTAACGTCCAGAATATATATATATAGAAAGAACTCATATAACTCAGTAGGAAAAATAATCCAGTTAAAACATGGACAGAGGATTTGCATAGACATTTTTGTACAGAAGACACACAGATATCCAACAGGCACATGAAAAGATGCTCAACATCCTTATCACCAACGAAATGCAAATCAGAGCCATAATGAGATAGCACCTACACCTGTCAGAATGGCTAGTATCAAAATGACAAGAAATAACAAAATGTTGGCAAGGATTTGGAGAAAAGAGAACCTCGTGCATTGTTGGGATTGTAAATTGGTGCGGCCACTATGGAAAACCACTTGGAGGTTCCTCAAAATTGAAAGTAGAACTACAGTATGATCCAGCAACTCCGCTACTGAGTATCTGTCCAAAGAAAACAAACGCTAATTCAGAAAGGTGTGTGTACCCCTTTTGTTTCATTGCAGCACTATTTTCAAAGCCAAAGTGTGGAAACAACTTAAGTGTCCATTGAGAGATGAGTGGATAAAGAAAATGTGGTTTATATACCCAGTACTGTTCAGCCATAAGAAAATATTGCCATTTGCCACAACATGGATGGACCTTGAGGGTATCATTCTAAGTAGTATAAGTCGGAGCAAGACAAATACCACAGGATTGCACTTATATATGTAATCTAAAAAACAGGACAGAACCCCAAGATTCATAGATACAGAGAACAAGTTGGTGGTTGCGGGAGGGGACGGTGTGTTTTGGGGGGAGTGACACGGGATCAAGAAGTACATACTTTGAGACTCTTTATTTTGGCTCGGGTCATGATGTCACGGTTGTGAGACTGAGCCCCACATCAGGCTCCACGCTGAGGGTGGATTCTCTCTCTCCCTCCCTCTCTCTGCCCCTTCCCTGCTCGTGGGCATGTGTGTGTACTCTCTCTCTCAAAATAAACATTAAAAAAAAATAAAAATGGAGAGGGAGGCAAACCATAAGAGGCTCTTAAGTACATCCAAGTGACTAAAATAAAATAACTGACAATTGCACTGGCCACCAGATGCAGGGAAGCCGGATCACTCGTCCACGGCTGGTGGGAACGTAAAATGATGCTGCTGCTCCGATAAAATGGTAACTGCACGCCTGGCCATCCGTCCCAAAGAAATAAAAACCGTGCTCACACTAACACCTGTCCACAGAGGTTTCGAGCAGCTTTATTTGTCATAGCCCCAAACTGGAAACAACCCAGATGTCCTTCAACAGGTGAATGGTTCAACTGGTAATCCATACAGCGGAACACTGTCCTACAAGAAACAAGAACAAACCATTGATACGGCAACAGCCTGAGTGAATATCCAGAGAATTGTGCTGCACAAAAATGCCAATACCGGAAGGCTACATACTGAGTCCACGTATGTGGCGTTTTGAAATGACAAAATTATAGAAAAGGAAGTTGATTAGTGGTTGCCAGAGGTCAAAGAGAGGGTCAGGGCTGGAGAGAAGTCAGTGTGGCCACAAGAGCAGATGAAGGGTCATCGCAGTGAAGAAAATATTCTTCTGTGTGTTGACTGTATCGGGTTATCTGATGATGTTTTGCAAGATGTCATCAGTCACCCCTGAAGGAAACTGAGTAAAGGGTACAAGAGATCGTTCTGCATTATTTTGTACCATTGCATGTGAATCTACCATTATCTCAAAATACAAGAAACTTCTAATGTAAATAAGGGGCTTATGGGGACACGCATTTGTTCCTTGTATTATGTGTTACGGACCGCAAGACTGGATGTTCTGTGTCTTTTGCTGATTTGTTCTGTTTCCCGCTGTGGTGCCTGTGCTTAGTTGTCTTCCTGTTTCTTTCGTTCCTGCCCGTGCCCTGCCCAGACCTCATCGCTGCAGTGGAGCACAAATGGAACTCTCTCTGCTAGTCTTCCCACCTGATCTGGAACTAATTTATCTTTGTCCTTCTCCGCTGCTGGCATTGCATTTAGGTGCGCTGTTCCATGCACAGAAGGGGTGGAGGCAAGGGGGAGGAGACTCCCCTGGGCAAATGCAGCCCTTGCTGAAGAGCCTGTGTTCTGTTGATCTTCCTGATCTCCTTAAGGCTCCGAGGCACAGCTCACTCCTCCCCGCCGAAGTACATTCAACTCTGTGGGCTTAGGGTTGGTCCCTCTGTAACGTAGTCCCCTGAAAGAGTCTGTGCCCTCGAGACCTGCTTCCCTCTGCATAAGTCTCCCCAAGCTCTAGAGGAGCTTCTTTTGGAGTTGGCCTTACTTGTCACTCTGCTGTCACTAAACTAACGTTTTTAATGAATTTCTAATGTAATAGTCTCAGTGCCACTGCTATTTCTGAGAAGTAGGATTAGAAGGTAGGATTAGGGGACATGGGGACCATACAGCACCTGAATCTGGTGTTTCTTTCTCCAACTGCCCCTTTTCAAAATATTTGGTTTAAATTGGTAACCCTTTTTGTTTTGTTGCAGCTGATCATCTTTTTAGCAGTTTTGTTATTGTTGTTTATTTTGTTAGAGATTTGAAGGAGGAAGAATCCATGAATCTGCTTTACTCATTAATCGAATTCTTACCTATTAGTTTTGTAATTATGAAAAGCAGATGCTTTTCAAGTATTTCTAATATTCAGCAAAAACTCAAAGACCTTCTGGCTTTAGTGCTCAGTCCTGCTTCATTAAAAAATGCCTAGAGGGGCGCCTGGGTGGCGCAGTCGGTTAAGCGTCCGACTTCAGCCAGGTCACGATCTCGCGGTCCGTGAGTTCGAGCCCCGCATCGGGCTCTGGGCTGATGGCTCAGAGCCTGGAGCCTGTTTCCGATTCTGTGTCTCCCTCTCTCTCTGCCCCTCCCCCGTTCATGCTCTGTCTCTCTCTGTCCCAAAAATAAATAAACGTTGAAAAAAAAAAAATTAAAAAAAAAAAAATGCCTAGAGATCACATTTTGAAATAATTTTTTTTTCACTATTCTAAGCTTTCTTTTTGGACTGATCTAAGATTTTGTTTACTGCTGAAGTCCATCTTGAGTATTTGGAGAAATTTAGCCCTCGTTGTTTTTGTCCTGCTTGAGCAAAGACAATTACAGAATTGTATGATGCGAAGTAACAGATAGGATGGCCACATCTCATTCTTCCACCCCTATTACGAGAATCTTTTATGGATATTGTCCTAAGAGTTCCAGGCTACAGGGTCCATTTTTGTTCTTGGTTATAATTACTTGGAATTATCGTCTCATTTTTTATAGGAACCAACAGTGAAAGAACCTGAAATTACCACAACCCTTCAGATACATTTCTTTGGAAAAAGAGGAGAAAGAAAACTTCATTACAGAGAATTTCGAAGGTAAATGTAAATATTTATATTCATTTAGGGAAATTTATGGCTAAGAAGTTACAAAACAACTGAATATACTCCTCTCACAGATCTGCAGACAGTAACACTGAACATCTTATGCAGAACTATATAGTATTTATCTCTGAGAACAAAACCTATAAAATATAAACTAAAGTACTCTGCTCAAAAACATCTAACCTATATGAAAAGTAATATCTGTTTTATAGCATACCATAATTTTTTTTAAGTCAGTGCTGTCATAGATGTATAGAGTTGTCTGGTAACACAGGTCACTAATGTACTGGTTTGGAGTTGGGGAGTGGGTGATCAGGGGAGGCTTTCTGAAGGAAATGGTGCATAAACTGAACCTTGACAGATGAGCAGGAAATACCCAGGCAAAAATGGTTTGGCAGGAAAGCATCTGAGGGAGCGAGAACAGCGTTAGAAAAGACGTAGAGGCATGGAAATGTATGGTTTGTAAAGGGAATTATAAGCAGTCGCATCTAGAGTAGTAAATGGAAGGTGGTGTGGTGAAAGGTGAGAAGAGAAGCTGGAGAAGGATGTGCTTGCCTGTGGAAGATTTTGTACTCCACGGGATCAAGCTTGAATTGACTCAGCGATGGAAGATCCTGAAGGGTGATGCCTGAAGGATACCTGGTCAGATGTGCCCATCGTTGTGTGTGGTAGCAGAATAAAGGATAGATTTTATGCGAGAGAAGACCATTCAAATATCCCAGACAAGAAATGATGAGAGCCTTGAACCAATGTAGTAACAAGGATTTTGAAGTGGGAGAGTTTTTAAGACATAGTTAGGACATGAGATTGTAGGACCCAGAGGCGCCTGGGTGGCTCAGTTGGTTAAGCATCTGACTCTTGGATTCAGCTCAGGTCACGGTCTCACAGTTCATGAGTTCAAACCCCACGTTGGGCTCTGAGCGGACAGCCCGAAGCCTGCTTGGGGTTCTCTCTCTCCCTCTCTCTCTGCCCCTCCCCTGCACATGCTCTCTCTGTCTCTCAAAATAAATAAATAAATAAACGTAAAAAGAAATTTTGTAGGGCCCAGTGATTGAGGAATGAGGAATGCCCAAGTTTCTGAATTCTGTCCAATCATAATGAACCCCATAGCTGAACTCCAGTAAGTCATTTAACCTCTCTACAATAGTTTTTCTCGACAAACTTTTTTTTTTTTTTTTTAATTTTTTTTTTTTCAACGTTTATTTATTTTTGGGACAGAGAGAGACAGAGCATGAATGGGGGAGGGGCAGAGAGAGAGGGAGACACAGAATCGGAAACAGGCTCCAGGCTCCGAGCCATCAGCCCAGAGCCCGACGCGGGGCTCGAACTCCCGGACCGCGAGATCGTGACCTGGTTGAAGTCGGACGCTTAACCGACTGCGCCACCCAGGCGCCCCTCGACAAACGTTTTTTAAAATGTCTTTTCTTATACTTGAAAAATATTACTGTCTCAACACTTCTTAAAATCTCAAAATAAATACCATGATTTAAAGCCAAGCCAGGCTATTACATCAGCTGTACTTATTCAGACTAACACACCGCTTCCCGTTCACTTTAAGATTCCCTAAACTAGTTAATTTTAAAGGTGTTCTGGGAAGCAAATGAAATAGAAGTATTTATAAATAAATAACTGAGAAATGTAAAAACAGTTAAGAGTATCTATGAAAACAATTAAGTACTTAGTTTATGTAGATTCCCAAATTGTAATGAGTGGGGAAAGGTGTAACATTAGGTAGGAAGAAGTAAGGGACCTCCAGGAAGGCAGGCTGCAGCTGCAAGGGGGAACCTGGCTGAGGACTTGGCAAAGGCAGCAGAGTTTGGGGAAACAGAGCTTAAGACAAAAGTATTCTGGACCTGCCCAGTCTAGGTGCCATGCATGAAATCTCACAAACTTTCTGATAAGGTCCCAGTAAAAAGTCAGGGACAGAAATCCTCGGCGGCCACCCAGTTGCGACCCCTCTCACTCTTGAGAGCTTTATACTTTCTCTCAATAAACTCTATTGCTTTACTCAAAAAAAAAAAAAAAAAAAAAAAAAAAAAAAAAAAAAAAAAAGGTGTTCTAACTTTAATTTTCTTTAAACAGAATAATTTTATTTAAAATTCTTACTTTAAAAAAATGTTTATTTATTTTTGGAGACAGAGACAGAGCATGAGTAGGGCAGGGGCAGGGAGAGAGGGAGACACAGAATCCCAAGCAGGCACCAGGCTCCGAGCTCTCAGCACAGAGCCGGACGCAGGGCTCGAACTCACAGACTGCAAGATCATGACCTGAGCCGAAGTCAGATGCTTAATTGACTGAGCCACCCGGGCGCCCCCAAAAAAAATCGTTTCAAAGAGATGTTTGTCCTTGGTGTCAGCCACCTCCTTCCAGCTTCTCTCATAAAGGGACATTGTTTTAGAAGGTACAGCTTATTAGTTTCAAGGAAAAGCAAGGAAGGTGCCACCAAGTTATAGCTTTGGGGCTACTTAAAACATTTGCCTATAGACGTTAGCTTCTCATTTAGAGAAACAGTATCGATTGGGAAAAAAACATATTTGTGATTTAGACAGACCTGGGTTCAGATGTGGAACTTCATCATTTACTAAGTGGGACTTGATGAACAAGCATTTTAACCAGAGGCTCCATTCTCTGTTCCTTCATTTGTGAAGTGATGATGATAAATATCTACTTAATAAGGTTATATATGTATATGTGAATTTGTTGTGTGATTATCCATTATTCATTATCATATATTATTGTATCCTATATTGCATCATATCATATAATTATTATATTATTCATGTAATGAATGTGTTGATTAATATATGATGATTAATATGTCGACTTACTCTATACAAGGGTCGGGCTCTAAGTAGGCACTCGTAATAGAATGTAAACACCGATATCAGAAGTGGGTAAGAAAAACGAACAAAAGAAAAACAGTGGCAGTGTCATAAAATGGAGCCACTAATTAGGCTAGTACACTAAGTGCAAACCGGGAGATTCTGTGCGCTTGCTAAGAACACACCGCAGATTTGACCGCGCTTTCTGGCAGGCACCATGAAGGGGGATACACGTCAGTTGCCCAACTCACCGTGTCCCTGAGTTGGAAGCTCACTGGTTCCGCATAAGGGGCTGGGGGGGCGGAGACATTCGGTCCTCATCATAAGGTCAGAAAGAAATCTTCCGAAGGGGCTTTATAAAAAGGACACTGCGTAACATGAAGAATTATATTCTTAACAATTATAGTAAGACCAGCGATAAATTTCACGGGCTTTTTTTTTTTTTTTTTTTACAGCATCCTGTCAGTAGAGAACAACTAAAATCACAGTTTTAAGCAAGGAGGCATACTTCACTTCAGCTCCTAAAATTCAGCTGCTTTTTCTCTAAAACCACTTTAAGCTTTACTAAGCAAGTACAAGTGCTAACAATTAAATGCCACAGTCTGAGAAGTTGGTAGCAATATAGAAGGGAGAGAACACTGGACATGAGGTCCAAATGGCTGTAAATCCTAGGTGTGCGATTTATTTAGCTGTATGGTCTTGGGAAAATCATGTACCTTTTTCTAGTCTTTGTAAAAATATACATGGCAATATTTGTCCTGCCCACTTTAAAGAGTTGTGAGTAAATTTAGGGGCACCCGCGGGGCTCCGTCGCTTAAGTGTCCGACCCTTGATTTTGGCTCAGGTCGTGATCTCACGGTTCGTGAATTCAAGCCCCACGTTGGGCTCTGCACTGTGAGCACGTAGCCTGCTTGGGACTCTCTCCCCTCTCTCTGCCCCTCCCCTGCTCACTTTCTCCTCTCAAAAATAAATAAACTTTAAAATAATATATTTTTAAAAAGTAAATTTAAAAATTACAAATTATAATTTTAAAATAATCTAATAAAGGAAAAGAGCAGATCTCTAATTCATGCAAATATCCTCGTTCCTAATCATTTTTATTTCTACTCTCATTTACATTAATATACTATCCCCCACCATGAAAAGTCTGAGGTTGATCTGAGAATTAAATGAGATAATATAGGTTAAAGTATACACAACATAACACACGGTAAGCATTCAGAATACATGCCAAACTCACGTCACCTTAGTTTTAGAGTTTCTAGTGAGTTTGTTTCCCAGCTCCCAGATCTGTCTCCTTACGGAATTCTTTTCCTCTGGCTTCTTCCTCTGTTTGCATTTCCCCAGCTCTCTTGGCCAAGAGACTTCTTCCACTAAGAGTTTCCTCAGTCTCTTTTCCCAAAGGCTCCTTAATCCAACATCTTTAGTAAAAGGCGAAAGATTTATTCGATCTGAAGAGAAACCAGAGTATTCCTTAATCCAACATCTAAAGAAAAAAATCAAAACTAAAAGTATATTCCCATCTTTTCCCCCAAGGACTGACTGCTTTAAAATTCAGAGAGAAGGATTTTTCAAGTTAGAACAGAAAGCTAGATACTACTTGTATTTTTCATCACAGATGACAAAACTATTTCCAATTTTATTATCAATTTTTGTATTTGAAAATCCAGTAGTGTCACTTTAAGACAAAATATTGAGAACTTGTATCAGTTTTATGAAGGATCCCTAGTCCTCATACAATCTGCTGAAAATGCTCTAGTAATATAATTAAACTTATGAACAAATACAAAATTAAAAAGCAAGAATTAATATATCTAAAGTGTCAAGAAAAGGCAAGGCTAAAAACACATTTGTTTTGCGATCTTAGGAACTGCATCAGGAGACAGACATTAAGGCAACAACCCAGATCATGGTTCAAAGAGACAAAGGAGCTCAGATTTTTAAAGGCAAAGGAGGAATTTTAGGCACATTACATAAGTTGGGGGGTTCTTTGTTTCTTAGGTCGGTTGTGGCAGGCTTAGGGTAACACTGTCCCGTACGCGATTCGTTGCCAAGATCAGTGCTGGGCAGAAAGTCCGTTTTAGTCCATTCTTGCATGTGACACACACTCGTCTCGAATGCTTGCAGTTTGGCAACAAGCCAAGGTTAGCATTCTTCCAAGAACTGAGCCGG